TCGGATTCAGCCTTGAATGATGAATATTTTCAAAAAAAAAATCAAGCATTCAGCATAAAATCTGTTGCTTTTTTAATTTAATTTGAAATTTGAAAAATTCAATTCATTTAAATTTTCGATGTAAAATTCGAAAAAAATAAAAATAATCATAATAATAATAAATCTTTTCCTTTCGTAATGGCAAGAACACGTTTTTTAATGTAAATGATTTTTGACAGGCTAGCTTTATTATCAGGTTTGGAAGTAATTTCTGAGTAAGTTTGTGAATCTTTTGTCCTAATTCGATATCTTGCCCGTAATAAGAGAAAACGAAATAGATTTCTTCCTTTACAGTTTGAGGCTGAGGTGATGAAGAGGAATTCAATTTCTTATAAATAATAAGTGCTTCTCTTATACCACGTCTAATTATATGAACTGGATAGCCATTCATTTTCATTGTTCTAATCAAACATTCGCGTCCTGATTTGAGGTGAGATTCTGTAGAACAGAGGCGTAGGGATCGAACATAGAGTGATTTGATTAGTCCTAGTCTGTATTTTCTTACTTGGTTACTATCATAGAGTAAATACAAATTAGTTACACAAAAGAGAAAAAAGAGAGAGAAAACCAAGAATCCACGTTGTGTTTTCTATCTATATGTGTGTGTATAGAAAACACAACGTGGATTCTTGATTTTCTCTCTCTTTTTTCTCTTTTGTAAACTTTAAATGTATATCGTTTTCCACTATATAAAAATAATCTTATTTCTGATGATGACAGAAGATTCTGTCGAAATATCGAAAAAAATTTCACTGTGATTAGTTAATCATGATATTTACACCAGTTTTATATTTCATTTGTCAATTGTATATTATTTTGTTTTTATTTTCTTTTTTAACATCTGAAAAATCATGCTTATTCTTGTTAAAGATTTTTTCCCTTTGTTCCTGTTGTTGTGTTTGTTGATATAAATCTCTCAAGTGTTACAGATTTTTCACAAGAAGAAAAAAACTTTTACACACGTTGTTTGCTATTTACAGGTAAATGCGATAAAGTGAGTTTTTTTCGAGAGATCCTGATAGTCTTTTCGTCGTCTACCTTTAGAAGCACAATCTCTCCGAAAGTCATCCCTGTTATCAATATAGTTTTACTCGCACAACGTTCTTCCCTTTATTCATCTATTAGACGAGCGTATCTACTTCTTTTCAATTATTCGGCATATTTAACTCCTTTAACTCAAGTATGTTAGCTACAGTTTTAAAGAGTGATGAATCACAACGTTTATTAATGGCAATTGATACAATGCGAGAAACATTACGTGAAGAAAAAATAGCTCTACCTGAAATCGTGGTAGTTGGAGATCAGTCAGTGGTAAGGAAAAATTAGTTTTTAACATCAGCATTTGTGAGCTCAACTTCCTGTCAGGATCTTCAGAAGAAATAAGTCAGCTTAGCGTACAAACGATTTTACTTTTACTCGTTTGACTGAAACGATTTTTTCCTAATCATTGAAGGGTAAATCATCCGTCCTAGAAGCACTTTCTGGCATCCAGTTACCACGTGCACAAGAAATTTGTACCCGTTGTCCACTGGAATTAAGGATGAAATCAACAACGGGTCAAGAATATGCAACGATACGTGGAAAAGAAATAAACGAGACAAAAATAACGAATTTTAATCTTATAGCGGAAGAAGTAACAAGATTAACAAAACTAATAGCTGGTACAGGGACAAATGTTAGTTCAGAACCAATCTATCTAACCGTACATAAGCGTGATGTACCTGATTTAACATTGATTGATTTACCTGGTATTACCAGAAATCCGTTGAAAGATCAGCCGAAAGATATTCATTTGCAAATACTGAACTTGATTAAAACGTATATTGAACCAGAAACAGCGATTGGTAAGAAAAATGGCGTTAAGCTTTTAATTATGTAATTTATCCTCTTTTCTTCGCAGTTTTGCATGTGATACCCGCGTCGGTTGATTTTACCACATCCGAATCAATGAAAGTGGCCAAAGAATATGATCCTAAATGTCGCCGTCAAGCGATTGCTGTCAGTAAAATTGATAAATACGACAAGGGTATTGACAGCAAATTGCAAGGACACGGCCCTGGCAGTATGAAACTCGACTTGGGCTGCGTTGCTGTTTTAAATCGGTCACCAGAAGAAATCGAGCAGAATGTTTCATTTGGCGTGATGAGACAACGAGAAAAGCAATTTTTTCTTGATCATCCGGATGCTTTTCAAAATGTACCTGAAGAATGTAAAGGCAGCGAACAACTGGTGAAGAAACTAGCTCATATTCAGCAAGAACGTATTCTTTCAACAGCTCCAAAAATTATCCGTGATTTAAAACAACAAATCAAAGCAATGAAAGACAAACTAAAAGCAATGCCTGTTGCTGTAACATCCGAAGCAGAATGTTGGATAAAATTCAATGAATTAATCAAAGAATATAGAGAATGCATACGATCAAAAGTCAACGGAGATTATCAAAATGAATCTGCGATACCAATGATGATGGAGGACGCAAGTGAAGATGAACGGCTGGAAGAAACCGATGATGAAGAGATATGTCAAGTGAGGTACTCAGTTTTCTTGCTCAGTTTTCTGGAGACTACTATCATCATGTCTCATGCATAAGATAGGAGAATGACTTTTGTAATCTTTAATAGCTGCGAGTTTCTCCAAATTGATAATTCTAAGCTCTATTCGATGTGCAGATAGGACTATCAAGAAGATAGTAAGATAGTGTTTGCGAGCCGAATAATACACTTCGACACAATCAGTAATGATGATAGTATCCAGACACACGTTGAGGAATACTTTTTTTTGTTTCTCAGCAGTCCCATAGTGGATTTCCAATCACCGGCAGTTTCAAGAAAAACCGATGACCGAATTGCCTATCAAGTATATCAATGTCAACGAAATTTTCAAAAAGCAGTTCGTGATTGTTTTTCAAATTTTTTTTCACAGAGTTATTACAAAAAAGTATTAGCTATGTTGGACGAAGCAGCTGGTGTTGCTCTGCCTAATTTTCCATCTTTTCAAGTAATCGAACGTCTGTATCGTTTGGAGTACGAAAAACTACCGTATATATGCCACAAATTAATTTCTGATATAACAGAATATTTAAAAACAGTGTTACTCTGGCTATTTAATGAGACATTTGAAAAAGCAACCAACTATCCCCGATTGGTTCAACGTTTACGAGATGTAGTTGAAAAAGAGATTGAAGCAGCACAACACCTGTGCAGCGAACACGTTGAACGTCAGTTGAAAATGGAGCGACGGGTGTTCACACTAAATCACTATTATATGGATACGGTCAATAAACAAAAAGCAAAAAAAGTCAAAAAAGATAACGAAGCAGCATCTGCCGCCGCTTCCACC